GCTGGGCAGGGTGGTGGGCGCCTGTAGTCCCAGCTACCTGGGAGGCTGAGGCAGGAGAATCGCTTGAACCTGGGAGGCGGAGGTTGCAGTGAGCTGAGATCGTACCACTACACTCCAGCCTAGGCAACAGAGTGAGACTCCATCTCAAAAAAAAAAAAAAAGTTAACATTATTCCTATCAGGCTTCACCTTTGGGATAGTTAAACAAACAAACAAAAAAGAAAAACATTAACCAGAAAAATTTTAAAAAAGCAAAACACTCCCAATATTAAATGTCAAGCTTAAAACCAAGCCCACACACCAGCCGGAGAGCACCAGGTCTTTTATCTCACTCTACCACCACCACTGCGGCTCAGAGCACTCAGGGCCGCATGTCATCACCAGAAAGGCTACAACCATGACAACCCAAAAGTCTGTTCCTCAACCTGGAGAGTGTCCGGCATTTCCCGAACCCAGATCTGAAAGGGCCAGCATACCCAGGTTGCTAGGCCCGCAGAAAGGGCAGGATTTCTGCGCTAGCAGCCAGAGACCCAGTCTGGGAGGAACCTTACTCTGACTAAATAGATGTGAAAATGTGAACGCATCCAGGGCAGGGCTTGGACATCCTGAATCCCCCTGTCTCACTGTTTTGCCTCTCATTATTCTTTAAAGCCAAAGAATAATCAATTGGGGCTCTTCAGCACCAGGCTCCAAGACATACTCCCTTCCCAATTACTGTCAGAAACCTGGAATGGAGAACTTGGCCAGATGATATTTGTGTCACTTCCAACCAATAAGTAACATCCACTTTCATTCCCCCATGAAGAGTCCCCGTAAGACTAAATTTGTAGCTTAGCTGCAAACCTCCAGAACAAGCTTTTCCTTCCAACTCTGGTCTCTACCTGTGACCTCCCCAAAGCACCATCTCCCAGGTTTGTACACTCCTGCAGAGTCACAGGGATTATTGCTGTCCTTCATCCCCAAGGCACATCTGTCCAAGACCTTTTGCTGTGGTTTTCAAAATGTCTTTGGCGAGCATTTCCTCTGCTTCTTTCCTATCTTACTCCATGGCAGGGTTGCATGTCTAGACTGCCGAGCCTCCTGGCCGGTCTCCCAGGCACTAATTTCTTCGTGTAATTTATTTAGCCATAACCATCGGGATACTTTTCATTTAAGTGCATTAATCAGTCACCTCTCTGTGCCAGCCACTCAGCTGATCCAGAATCCACTTCCTGATGGAATTGTGACATGACTTGGGATCTTTCCCACATTCTCATTTCTCTCTGCTCCCTTACAGCCACTTATTGTCCTCACAGGCAGGTCCATGCTTTTTCTCACCTCTAGGTTTCATGCAGGCTTCTTTTTCCTGAGAGAATTTTGAAAGAGTTTTCCTAAAATGCTAACTCCTGTATCACAGCCTCTGTGCCCCTGCCTTCAAGTGGTACAGAATACCTTCTCTGGACCGGAGGTAGATCAGGCCCTTTCAAATGCAACATTATTTTATAAATAAATCGATTTTCTTTGTTTTAAATTTCTTTTAAAAACTATTAAAAGAAACAATAAACACCAGATAATTCAATTAACATTTTAAAAGTAATATTAACATAACATTATTTAATCTTTCTAACAACGCTATAAGGTACTAACTCTGAGAGAGAGGTGTGTGTGTGTGTAAATGTGACATACATATGTGATACATACAAATGTAATACATATATATATGTACTATAATACAGTCAGCCCTCTGTATCTGTGGTTCTGCATCCATGGATTCAATCAATCTCAGAGGGAAAATATTTTTTAAAAATTGTGTCTATACTGAACATGTACAGCCTTTCTTTCTTGTCACTATGACTTAAAAAGTACAGTACAACAATTATTCATATAGCATTTACATTGTACTAGGTATTACAAATAATCTAGAGATAATCTAAAATATATGCAAGGATGTACATAGGTGATATGCAAATTTATACAATTTAATATCAGGGACTTCGGCATATACACATTTTGGTATCTGAGGGGTTCCTGGAACGAATCCCCCATGGATACCAAGGGAAGGACAACAGTATACACACACACACACGTATACACATATATACACATATGCATGCATATATATATATAAAAATATAAATTCAAGGGGCCAGTTAGGTTATATAACTGACCAGTCACTTGGGTAGAAATTCATGGTGTGCTGAGAATAAATGTAAGTATTGATCCTATCTTTAAAGATGATTCTATTCCAAATGCTAAAGATTTTGACCAGTGACTCAAAAAAGAAAATTCCTGACCTAATTGTCTTTCTCTTAGAACCTTTGTCTCCTTCTGGCAACCGGGCTTCAGAAAGGGAGAAGTACGTGTATGTGAAAGGGAATAGCACTCTGAAAATCCGAGCCCAGTTCTAACACCTCACTTAACTAACACACCCACCAAGCAGAACACAGACAGCTCCAGGTGGCATCCTGCTGAAGGTAACATTTTCTGTTGCTTCCTTTCATCATTTTCCGGAGAGTTGTGTTCTTTTCTCTTTTTTTTTTTTTTTTTTTTTTTTTTGAGATGGAGTGTTGCTGTGTCACCCAGGCTAGAGTGCAGTGGTGCGATCTCAGCTCACTGCAAGCTCCGCCTCCCAGGTTCGAGCGATCCTCCTGCCTCAGCCTCCTAAGTAGCTGGGACTACAGGCGCCCACCATCACGCCCAGCTAATTTTTGTAGTTTTAGTAGAGACAGGTTTTCACCATGTTGGTCAGACTGGTCTCAAACTCCTGACCTCGTGATCTGCCCACCTCGGCCTCCCAAAGTGTTGGGATTACAGGCGTGAGCCACCACGCTGAGTCATATTCTTAATTGCAACTTACATTCTGGATATCTGGGGTCTAGTGCCTAGGTTTTTCTATGGCCATTTCTTACTTCAGCAATTTTGTAAAAGTACCAAGGTCAATCCGTCTTCTGCAGACGATAGGTTGATTCATTAACACTTCCCAAATGACTCTAGAAGCCCAAGAACACAGAGGACCATGTATAATAAATGGAAAACATCTTTTCATGGTGATTTAACATTGTTATGGTTGTTTTTAATGAAAGCACACCTGGAAAAATTTTGGCATGTCAAATCCTTAGATATAGAAATGGTTTCCTCCCCAAGGGCTATCCCTTCAAACTGTCACCACGGGTCATAAACAGCCTGGCTCAGAAGTGCAGGAAGACATTCCTTTTACAGCTGTAATCACCCACTGCTCCTGAGGAAGCCAGCAGGCTGAGCCCTACAGGAACTTGACAGAAGCCTGGAGCTGGAACTCAGTGATTAATCGTCTGAATTTAAAAAGCCAAAGTCTTTCAAAATCCCAGATGAGCACATCGCTGGCTCTGCTCCCGTCATAGGGTGCAGAAAAGTTTAAAGGGTTGTTGGGATGGGGTAGAGGTAATGATACCCGTTTTAAAGCACAGAATGTACAGACTGTGCTATAGGCCACTTCGGGGAAGGAGGGAGAAAGGGAGCATGGGATCCCACAGGGCTAAGAAAACGAAGGCTGAAACAGAAAAGAAAAGAAAGGGAAGAGAAAAGAAGAGAGGGAAAACCAACAGTGGTATGATCTTCCAATCAGCATTTTTAAGAGCTTAATAAAATGTGGTCAAATTCTCATTTCAAGCACTGGACAACAGTTGAGTCTGGCCACTGCACCGTGAAAGGCTCGAACAGATGCCACCACTCTGACCTTAGGGTAAGCCTGCCCTCTTTGGCAGCCTACTGTCTCTTTTAGACTCATTAGATCAAGTCACACATGCCTGAAAAAATGATTCCATCATAATGTGATAGGGTGAAAAATTTTTCCTTCTAGATATTTGGTACAGCCACTCAGCCAGCAGACCTGTCCTGATAGGAATTCAGAAAGGTGGTGTAATGTGAACATGCAAGTGCTTCATCTGTTCACTCACTGGTTGAGAAAGAAACGGGGCCTGATGCCGGCTACAGAGATGAGGAGAACTCATGAGAGCTCTCCTCTACTGGGGATGGCAAACAGGAGGTAAAATAATCACAGTGCTTTGGGACAAATGTTGTGAATGGAAATGTATCAAGGAGAACAGGAACTCAGGAAAAGCAGTCCCTGATGCTCTGGGAAATGGATGGAAGACCTAGCAGGGCAGGAGTTCATAGGACTTGAGACTTCAGTGGGAGTCTCCCAGATAAACAAAGGGGGATGACGGGCAGGGTGTTGATGACGTGAAAGGGAACAGAAGGAGATCAGGTGGGAAAGGCACGGAAGGCCTGGTGAGTCACGAGCAGAGGATTGGCTTTTAGTTCCAAGGCCAAGGGAGCCCATGAAGAGTTCTATGGAGGGAAATGACAAGATCCAATTTGTGCTTTTGAAGGGCTGCTATGCTGGCAGTGGGAGCACCAGGTCCTGGGAACACCCAGCCTGCGACCCTGCCCTGGCATCTGCGCAGGGTCCACTCAGGATGGGATTTGAGGGTCGGTGCGTCAGAATTTGCAACTCTTCACCCACCCCTAACCCTCCAAAGGGCTGAGTCTTATATTTTTCAGACCACTGCTTTAGAGGTGAGTGAGAAAATTGGAGTGAGAAACACAAGAGGAGGACTTGAGCCTCGTGGTTAGATTGCTTCACAAGATAAAGTCCAGAGTGAAAGATATTTTTCTTTTCTTTTCTTTTCTTTTTTTTTTTCAAGGCAAAAAGAAAGGTTTCTGGATGGTGGGCAGAGAAGTAGGCCATTTGGTGGTGTGGGAGGGCAGCTGAGGAGAGAGCCACAGAAAAATCCTAGGAATGTGAGGAGCAGTGACGGCATTGGGGAGGGAAGGCGGGTTCTTACGTGTTGTTATGATCCAGTTACCGTCATTTGGTAGAGAATGGAGTTTCCTAGTAATTACTTTTGGAAATCACACTGCACCATATGACCCTGATGTGATTGGAGACTGAATCATGCGGACTACAATGTTTTAAAAAGTTGCAACACGTATCATTTGAGTAGACTTACAAAAGAGATTGCCAAGCAAGAGTTTACATACCGGCTCGTTTTTGCCTCAGTGCCTCTTCACCAGCTGGTTCATATTCATGAAGACTCTGAAAAGAACATTTGAGAAAGTTGTCAATTAAGGTTAGAGAAGTCTTTTCACTTTGGCTCCCCACTTAGATACCTCTAAATGTTGGAGCTGAGCTTAAGGCCACAGCCTTAATGGATGCTGGGCACACAGCAATGAAATGGTTTGGAGAATGAAGTGGAGTTGTTACTGCAGTGTGACCTAAGAATTCACTTTTTTTGACCAGTCTCTAGACCAGGAACAGAAGAAATCACCATATCTGACTTTCTCAGAGTTCCTGCAGTTTGAATCCTGTCAAGAAATATAAATTATTATCATGTTCTAAACTTGTACTCTCTGCCTGACTTGAACTGAGTCATCCCAGCGACCTTCGAGACAAGTCTCACGACCTCCTTCTCAACACTCAGCCTGCCCCAACCCCAGTCTTCCTGCTGTATTAGGGCTCTTTAACCACTGTGCATGCTTAGAAATTATTTTTCCTGAGTCCGATCCTTTTTCTCCTGGATGGTTCTATTGCTGGTTGCTGTAGTGGGAACTAAGAGAGTCTGCTCTAGAGTCAGACTGCCTGGTTACAAAACTGTGCCACTCACTTTGTGGCTATGTGACTTTGGGGAAGTTACTTATCCTTGCTGAGCTTTAGGGTTTTTTTTTTTCCTGTACAACGGGAATAATAACAGCATCAACTTCACAGAATTGTTATGAAAACTAAGCAAACTGCAGTATGGCATGTAGTAAGTTCTTAATACATTTTAGCTATTATTATACTGTGTGGTGATTAAAAGTAAGGACTCTGCAGACATTGAGTTCAAATCCTAGCTCCATCATTAAATGGATGTATGACCTTGGGCAAATCATTTAACCTTTCTGTGCCTCAGTCCTTACCTATAGAATGGGGATGAATATAGTTTATCTCAGAATGTTGTGGCGAGGATCAAATGATTAGTAAGTGTAAGGCACTGAAAGTAGTTTTGGTTACATGGTAAATATTATTCAGGGAGGGGGCACCAAGATGTTCTGGGGGCATCATGCTGCAACTGCCACCTGCCACCTGGTGCGTTTCTGTGAAGTTCATCTCCTTCATCATGTAGCTTTTTTGTTAAAGAATAGGCATTGATCAGTTTCACTCATGGGCTCTCCACCAGCTCCGCAGCTGGTAACAGAGCCTACCTCGTACCTTGACCTGACACGGATTTCCTAGCTGGTCCCTGCCTGCCTGCAGGTTTTCCTGTGATGTGTTTTCCACCCCAAACTCCCTTCACACTCAATAGAAAAGCCCCACCTCTCTGAAGCCTCCCAGATAACCCCGCCCACAGAGATCTGTGCTTTACCCTGACCTGCACGCATCCATGACCGCCACCTGGGGCAGAGCTCATTCTGCCATCGAGGTTGTCTACCACTGTTTTCTAGTTATCTCACATCATCACGATGACAAACATAATACTTCCTGTGCCAGGACAAGGGTGGATGCTGTTATTATCCACATTTCACTAATAAGAAAGCACAGACACAGAGAGGTTCAGTAACTTGCCTAGGATCATACAGACTTTAATGGCAGAGCAGGATTCAAACCCAGCCGGCTCCAGAGTCTGCGCTTACCCACACAGGCACTACATCATCTTATCAGCAGAGACCTGGGAGACTGCCTTTGTCGCAGGGAGCTGGTCTCTCTTCACTCAGAGCCATTTCTCTTTGTCTGTGTAACCTCTTCCAATTCCCTCCTCCTTTCCAGTGAACCGTTCCCTTGGCTGGTCTCCCTCCTCTTACTAAGTTACATTTTTAGGAAAAGATCAGATGTCAGCAATTTACCACTCCATGTGAGGTTTACCTGTTCCCCTCACTGATGCCCTTAGGAGGTACTGGTTGAAGAACGTATTAAAGTCAGTAGGAAATGAAACAATGAAAGAACCAAAAATGGAAAGAGGAAGAAAGTACATGAAGTCGTGAAACAAGTATCAAGTACTATCCTGTGTACTTGAGAGTTCATAAATATTCTTGAAGAAATAAAGAGAGGAATGATGAATGATGACTGGAATTTCAAAAGCCCAGTTGCTGCTTTATTTGCAGTGCAGTTATTTTAGATGTAATTGAATATGCAGGAATGGAAGGTGCAAAGTCAATGTATAGGACTGGTTCCGGCCCAGCTTCCCCTGGAGAATGCTTTGGCTTTCTGCCCAGGCAAAAGGAAGGTTCTTCATGCTTTCCGGCCTCCATCCTCTCTGGGGTCTGGTGGGGAGGAGGGAGTGGCCACTGGGAGCTTCCTCTGTCCATACTTCAAGGCAGCAGTTAGGGGACCCAGACAGCACACGAGAACTTGACCACCAGTGGTCACCTTTGGGCAGTTCTCCCAGGTCGAGTTTTCGTTCTCTCTGCTTTCCACTAGGACTAAAGCATTGAGGTCTTGCCTCTTTGTCTTGTCAGTTACATGTTAAAATCAAGGTATATTTCAATTATCTAATGCAGCATATTTCAACTCTTTGTGAGAATCAGGATCACTGGTCTCCCCTGCCCGCAATGTGATTCAGTAGGTCGGGGGTGAGGTGCAGAAAACTGCCTTTTCAACCAGCGCATCCATTGACATGAGGCAATCTTTTAGAAACACTATTTTCTGAAGATTTTCTGAATCTTTATGGTGACCATCTGGAACTTTCAGGGCACGTCTTTGCAAGTGCTGCTTCCACAGCTCTGTCACCTGCAACCTCTTTGTTGTCCAGTGAGAGCAACCTACTTCCTATTTTAAGCCCTGCAATCATTGGAAATAATGGAGTAAAAAGCACACTGATGGCAATGAAGCCTCTCAGGAGGTGGGGTGGAGATGGTAAATGCCCTTGACTATCCCCAGATTCAAAGAGGTACAAAGATCTGGCTACCAAGTCACGGGACCTGGATGTGAATAGAGCAAATGGTTGCACCAAGAAGTGAATCCCACAGTTTCAGAATTTTAGGAGATGTCACTCACTCCCTCGAATCCTCTGTTTCTTACATTATGAAAAACAGTAAGTGCTGAGGCACATCAGGTACTCAGTGCAGCCTCTGGTTGTGGCATGTGCCGTGTATTCTGCTGGCCTGGGGCTCATTGTGGACCAGCCTTACCGTCCTGAGACCTCATGTCATCCCAGTTTGGGGAACTGTGGGACTCCAGCACTTGCCTTTCCTCTTACACTTTGGGTGCTGAGTAGAACTCACAAGGGAGCATAGGTTTGCCAGGGCTCCCAGTGCTAGGCAGTGTATTTACTTCAGACAAGAAAACAGATCTTCCAACTGGACCTCCTCTGCCAGCTCTATCTGTGTAGAGGTCCCCAAGGGACTGTCTGAGCCACAGTGGACAGCGCTGTCCAGAGGGAATTTCCTGAAGGCCAAGCTTCAGCCGGAAAAGACAAGGTCACCAATTCCAGGAAGTGCCCCACCTATCGGACCTGATGACTTCACAAATAATTGTAGTGGGGGCAGGGTGGCCTGGAGTGGGGGTGGGTAGTCAGTCAGGAATGAGAGGTGGCTTTTTATTCATGAAGAAGAAAATTCCCAGGGAACAGGATGGCAAACGAGGAGGTAAGCAAAGGCTCCTGCTTTCCCAAATCTTACGCCTACTCGCCCGAGCCCTGACACACATGCCTCTTTTTCTTGACCTGAAACCTCCAATTTAACATCTTTGCTTCTGTGTTTGAACTCTGTCTGAGCAAGAATCCTCTAGCAAAGTCTGCTCACATAAGCCTATTCAGAGGGGTTTATTTGTATCAAAAGTAATCACAAAAGCTGCAATGACTTTTGCACCAACCTAATACTAGAATATTAAAAATAACTACAAATGCATAGGCACCTGGGCTCTGTGCTAGTCACCATGCTGTGGGTTGCATGTAGAACATTGAAGCCTCGCAACAAACAGATGAAGGAGATGTGATTTATTCTCATGTAGAGGAAACAGACTCAGGGAAATGAAGAAAGTTGACAAAGTTTCCAAAGCTAATGAGAGTCAGAGCTGGGCTTCCATTCAGACGTGACATCAAAGTCGAGCATGTACAGCCTGTAACTCTAAGATGGTCACTGGAGCAGGATCCAGGGCAGCATGTCTGAAAGCCAACATCCTGGGCCCCACCCAGGCATCCTGAGCTAAAATCTGCATTTGAAGAAGGTCTCTGGGCAGATCCGTGCCCACATGAAAGCTTGAGAAGCACTGGGCTACATCATCACCCTTTAAAAGCCTTTCACCCCACGTGTGTATATTCATGTTCATAGGAACATTATTCACAATAGCCAAGAAGTGGAAGCAACTCATGTCCATGGATGGATAAATGGACATACAAAATATAGTACATATGTACAATAGGACATTAAAGCCTTAAAAAGGGGGGAAGTGCTGACACAGGCTACAACATAGATAAACCGTGAGGACAATATGCTAAGTGAAGTAAGCTATCCGCAAAAAGACAAATACTATATGATTCTACCTACATGAAGTATCTAGAATCACCAAATTAATAGACAGAAATTAGAATAGTAGTAACCAGCAGCTGTCAGTAGAGAAGGAAATGAGTTATTGTCAAGTGGGTATAGAGTTTGAGTTTTGCAAAATGAAAAAATTATGAAAATTAGTTGTACAATAACATGGATACTCTTAATACTACTGAACTGTATGACTAAAAATGGTTTCAAGATGTTAAATTTTATGTTAGACATAATTACCACAATTCCAAAAACCAAGCCCATCACCAGATGTTGCATACATGTGACATTTAAGATGGTAGAAGGTCAGTCATGGGAACTGGGTGGCAGCTTAGGGCAGTATAAACTGATCAGGCAGGCTCAAGTGTACTTTTCCAATGGAAGTCCTCAGCCTTTGGGTTGCATGAAGACATTATAACTTGAAGGGTAGATCTACCAAGGAAAAGTGGGGTCCTTTGAGGTGAGTGGTAGGAGCTTCCAAGGAGATGGAGTTCACTTTCCACCAAGAGCCCTAGGTCAACTTATCCCCTGACCAGCCTTTGCCACCAGGCAGATGAAGGGGCTTTGCCAGGCCATCACTAGGAGGGCAGATGTGGCATAGAGAGAAGGCACTGCTGCAGCCACAAACATTAAGAAATGCTGGAACAGAGGCAAAGCTAACACCACTGCTGAGATTGCCTCAGGCCCTGGCTTTTATCCCACCTGCCTTGCATAGCCAGAGCTCTGCACTGACTATGTGAATTCACAAGAAGCTTAAATGTTTCCCTCCTCTATTTAAATGGGCAGGCTATTGTGTATGAGTGTACAGGTTATACCCTGCACACTGGGGTTTGGAAGGAGACACACCATATATGTCCCCCAAGTCATGAGAGAAATAAAGAAAAGACAAAGATAACCTAGGTCAGAAAATGAAAGAACCAAAAATGGAAAGAGGAGGAAAGTACGTGAAGTCTTGAAACAAAATCCTGAAGGTAAGATCAAGCATTTTGAAAATGATATCAAATGGGAACAAAGTATACAAATTTACTTGGTCAAGTTTGGTTTAAAAGAAAAAAAAAATCAAACACATTGTTTACAAGAGAGTCATAAAACAAAGTGGTATATAAAGACTTAAAAAAGAGGACAAAAATCAGGCAAACACACAAACAAAAGCAGACATGACAATTGGAATAGCAGACAAATAATTAAATTAAAACATGCAAAGTAGGACAAAGAGGGACATTTCATAATGCTAAAAATGTACCAGTGAATGTCTAAAAACAGTGACTGACAAAAAAAAAGAACTGAAATATGCAAAACAAAAAAGTGGAAAATACTACTACAATAAGAGAAACAATAACAGCAAACAGTTACATAACATGTATTATGTGCCAGACACTGTTCTAGGGCATCTTACAGATATGAACTAATTTAATTTTCATAAGAATAAAAGGAAATCAGTACTACTATTAGCATCGTTGTATAGATGAAGAAATTGAGACAGAGAGAATTATATCAGTCTCCAAAGATTCCCAACCCTGAATCATGCCCTGTCTCCGGTGCAGGGAGAAGCCTAAGTAAGGAATAACCTGAAAATTCCCATAAGGAATAAGGGGGTACTTATCCCTCCCTTTACTTAAGTTAAACTCTCCTTGACTTTCCAAAGACAAAACCACCTGAATAATTTGTCAGCAAAGGTCTTATATGATGTCTATGGTCCCTTCAGCTATATCAGTCTGTGATCATCACACACACAGAGATTAATGTCTTTTGGAATGTGTTCTAGCCTGATGTCCCAGTTAAAACAAATCCTTTAAGAACATACATTCTGCTCAATCCTCCAAATCTGCTTTGTTGTTATCGTTGTCAGTTTAACAGAGTGGAAGCCTTAGGCCTAGTGGTTGCAATTTAGAGAAGGAAGGAACCCTGGGAGGTCTCTCTTGAAGCTACATTGATGTTCCCTTGACACCACCACTTATTTCAGAATATAGCAAGTGGTAGCCCAGCAAATACACTGACCTACTGTTTATATTCACCCCTTCTCCTTATATTTACCCTAGGTTTATATTCACCCCTTCTCCTCATTTGCAACATTTTTTCTTATGTGGCAATTATGGGAGGAAGTTTTTTCTCCCTAAACTTTTTGTAGGAACTATTGTCAGTCAGGAAATCATAAAAATGTTAACAAGAAAAATTACAGCACATATGGATATACTCACCAAAGGATGAATAGTAGACTCTAAATTCCAGTTCAGTGTAGCTTTGGAAGAATAAATCACAATAAACATGAAGCACAAAGTGGTTCTCTTTGGTGATTTCATGTCTTAACGTTTGAGTTGGTTGGCCTGAAATGGAAATATGATGGTTTATTTCTGTATTTTATGCTGTATTTTAAATACAGCAATTTATTTCTTAAACAAGGAAAGAACTCGCAAGCCCTGTCTTGAAGGTCATCCTACACAAGAAACTTTTCAATAGAGACAGAAGAGGAAGAAGAAGCATGAAGTAATCAACTTAGCATTCTCTGCCCAGACCTTCGGGTGAAGAAATGGTCACAGTAGGGGAATGGGGGTTGAGAGGCTGAGAATGGTGCCTGAAAATAGGACAAAGGTAGCAGATGTCTGAGTAAGAAATACTTACACATAATTTATGAACAAAAAGACTCAGAGAACACTATTCAGTTTTGCTACACGCAATATACTTTGGTATTTTCAATTCTATCATAGAGTGTCTTACCCCATTTTTAATTTAATTCTGGTAGTAACCCATTTAATGGACATCATGACCCATATTAATGGACTATGACCCATTAGTATGAAAACTGCTGGACTTGGTTATAAAAATATAAGTTGTATCTTATAGTATTGTTTCATATTATAGTGCACAATATAGAATATTAGTATCATTATATATCCCATCTTATTTATTTATTTATTATATTTTGAGACAGGGTTTCACTCTATTGCCTAGGCTGGTCTTGAATTCCTGGCCTCAAGCAATCCTCCTGCCTCAGCCTCCCAAAGTGCCAGGATTACAGAGGTAAGTCATCATGCCTGGCCTTATGTATTGATTTTTAAAAATTCCCTTTATAATGCTGATGATGAAAATAGCTTTTTGGTGATGAGATGAATCATTTTTGCATTTAAAAAGCAGGGTGTCCCGTGGAATAATCTCCACCCTAGAAGGTCTGGAGACCAAGACAATCTACTTTGTGCACACTCCTCTCCTTATGGCTTTTCTATGCCCATGTGTTGCTGTGAAAAGAATGCTAGACTAAGCGACACAAGATATGAGTTAGGATTCAGGATTACTAGAAACTAACTATGTCCTGTGTAACTAATTTGTCTTCTCTGAGTCCAAGTTTTCCCATCTGTAAAATGGGGATAATTGTACCTCTCCTAATTCTCTCACAGAGTTTTCTGAGACTCAAATGAGATTAAAAGCCATGAAGAACTCCAGAAATGCAGGCTGCAATAATTATTACTCTGATTGTCAATAGAATCCAGAATGCAACCATCCAGAAGGGCAGGCTTTTGGCTGGAGTGTTGCAGGGAGCGCCAGGGAAGCAATGGCCAGGATAACACACTGATGATAGGCAAGATTTACACGCCAGGGAAAATTGTATTTCAATCGCCAGCTGACAACTGCCACCTTTTCCTCGTCCTCAGTGGAAAACTGGAAAACTGAACCAATTTGCAAATTTGGCAATCAAACACATTTTTTAAATTCTGCAACTCAATGGTTTGGGGGAAATGCTTTGCAATTTAGGTTATAGCAGCTGTTTAACACTAGATGCATCTGCTGTGGGGAAATCATAGCAATGTACTGCTTAATTTTCTATTGGAAGTTTTATCTTCCTTTTTGAAAGACAGTGTGCCCTTGTGGGTATTGAACAGGCTAATACAGAATGAGTCAGGTATTTAGGAGGCAAAGTAGTCTTTTCAGGCCCCAACCTCTGTTGGTTCCCTACTGAGGCAGTTAATCAAGGAGATGAGACTTAGTAACTGAATAGTTAATGAGCCTCCCTTCAAATCTGATAACCAAGGAAGAACTCACATACTAGAAGGACTAGAGCTGGCTCCATATCTTTCTACGATTTCCCAATATTGGCAGTGCATCCTTTTCTTTGGTCAGAGTTATCAAGAATTACAATGTTCCCAAATAGTCATGTCTGGCCCATTTGTATAGGCCATTGAACAATACTGTCCCTATCTTCCCCCATTCCCTGCCTCTGCTGAGATAATTTTTGATAAAGTAACATTCTTATCTATGTTGACTCATTTGTTGACAACAAGATCGCAAGCCAAAAGAAATGGAGATGTAGGAAGGACCCCACCATGGAGAGGCGGGTGTTCTCTGGATGCAGAAGATGATACACAGTCATCAGTTACACAGGAAATGTCAGGGATTCTTCACTCAAAAGAAAGGAGAAAGCCACCATTTTGAAAGAAAGGAAATAGTCAACATATTTGACAACCAGTATGGCATGGACCTGAGCAATGGGAGCAGGGATACGAGCTGAAATTCACTTCAGCTTTCGGGGTTGCTGTCACACTTAGGTAGAGACCTAAAGACAAACTTTTCTTTAACCTGCATCATTAATTGTATAAACCTTCCAGCTCACAGGTGTCCGTACCTGTGAGGAATCAAGCAAAAACTGCTTAACTTGGCCAGTGGGGGGAAAAGTCTACATTCATCCAGTTAAAAACATGGAGCAATGTCCCACATTCAAGGCAGTTTGTCTTCAGTAGGGCCCCTTTAATCCTAAATTCCCTAAATGTTTGTATTTCTTCTAAAATTCCTGGAGTAAAGGGCAAACAAAGGCTGAGAGACAAAGAGAGAAACAGAAGCAGAGGGAGAAAGAACATTATCAGATGTCATTCCCAATCTCCTTCTCTTTTTAAATTAAAATCCAGGACACTTTCTACTAAAACTCACCAAAGCTGGGAAATATGACCTAGCCCTCAGTATTAGCCTTGTGGCTCTGAGCAACTTCCTGTTCTCCTCTGACTCTATTTTCCTGTCTGTGAAGTTAGAAGACAGGCAGAGGGAAATAAAGCACAGCCTGACATCATATGCCAGGAATAAGTCATCAAGATTCTCAGCAACCTTGCATCTGGAGGATGAATGGTCTGGGTTCCCTGAAGCCACCATTAATGGCTTTCTCTTGCAAAGTGATTATGCACCAGGAATCTTCACTGTGGAACTGGCCTGTTCTTACAACTCTTAGAAACAACCAGTGCTGGCTGGATGTGGTAACATATGCCTGCAATCCCAGCATTTTCAGAGGGCAAGGAGAAAGGATCACTTGAAGTCAGGAGTTCAAGACCAGCCTGAGCAAAAAAGTGAGACTCTGTATTGTATCAAAAAAAAAAAAAAAGTATTTTTTGTAATTAGCCAGGTGCAGTGGCACGCACCCATAGTCCTAGCTACTCAGGGGGCTGAGGTGGGGAGATGGCTTGAGTCCATGAGCCCTGGAGTTCAAGGCTACAGTGAGCTATGATTTCATCATTCTAGTCCAACCTCTAACAGAGCAAGACCCTATCTCTCAAAAAAAAAAAAAAAAAAAGGAAATAATAAAGAAACAATCAGTGCTTAAGATCAGCTCTTCTCTTAGAAATCCTTCATCAGCCCTGAGATCAGAAAACTAGGCCTAGAAAGAGTTGAGTGTCTCAGAGCTAAGAGGTGGCTAGGAGCTGAGTCAGTCAGAACTCCAAGAGATCTACCAATGATTCTCACAATGTTCGCCAATGACATCCTCTGACAGTTGGAGCAACCATATATGATAGGATTGTGGGTAATAATTGCTGGTGGTTATTAATTATAATTGGTGGGTAGTAATTGCTGGTGACAATGACTATAGGAGTCCTGTCTTACTGAGTGCTCACTATGTTCTAGGCCTGCTGTTGAGTTCTCTGCAAGGGTTATGCCCTCTAACCTCTCAAGAAGCCTCTGATACTACTAAATTACTCCTACTTTTCAGATATGGAAACGGAAGCTTAGAAGGAAGACTAATTCACTGAGGCCACAAAGCTGATAGACAATAGTGGTAAAATTATAAACACAGCAGTCTATTTTCCTGAGAACAAGGTGTCATTTGAGCTAAGAGATCTTCTTGGTGGGAAATCAACCAACCAAACAAACAACCAAACAAACAAAAACGGAAAACTTTATAGACACCTGACCAGGCAACTGGAAACAAACTTCTAGCCTCATTTTGCCACTTATTAGCTGTGTGATGGGAGTCAAGTCACTTTATCTCTCTGAGCCTGTTTTCTTATCAGTAAATCCAGGGATTTGACTGCACTCAATAATTTCAAAATCCGGATGCAAGAGTTGATCTCTTGAAGTCCTGTTACTATTCTAAGAGTCTAAAATTCTTCACAGTTATTTCAACTCAAATGCAGGCTCACCCAGGTTAACTTATGAGAATAACCATAACTATCTTGCATTTATCCCCCCACCTCTGACTTACTACACAGTCTAGACCTTCTCTGCCCCTCATGTACACCATGGCAATGGCTTCCTTTCTTTACTTCTCTGCTCCCTCTCTACAGAGATGCAAGATGGATTTTCCTAAAGCACTCTTCTCACAACATTCCCTGTTCAATTTTCCCCTGCTTTCAGAATAAAGGAAATCACTTTCACTGATCCTCAAGGCTCTCCACAACCTGGACTTTATTTATAAGAGTGAGCATATGTAATAAGCATCTATAATATTTTCACTACCAAAGTCAGTTGCTTTTTCATAAGTTAAAATAGTGCAAGAGATTTTCCAGTGCTCATGCAAAAGTAAAAATGCCAAGTCAATCTTTGAGAATTAATTTTGGGGGTGGACAGGCGTAATTACTGCCAAACAATTTTTCTGTGTTTGGTGAAACCAAAATAACCCTGTCATTTATTTGGTTTATTAATCTCCATCTTTTCCTGTCCCTTAACCCCACACAATCACTGCATATTCAGATTCTACCCATCCTTCAATGCCCAGGCAGTAGGGCTCCCTCACAGATGAAGGTTTCCTGATCTGTCCAGTTATAAATAGTCTCTATTTCCCCTGAACACCTACACACACTTAGTCTAGGCCCTTAGCCTTCCTGCTTGTATTATATGTATTGTTATAACTATTGCACAAAGTAAATCTATTTATTCCCTTATCTATTCATTTGTGTATTCCTTTACTGGAAAAAGATTTATTAAGTCCTGTTATATGTTAAGAGTTCTGCTGAGTGAAGGGGAAGTAGCAGTAAACAAGACAATGGTCCCTGTCTCCATGAAGCTTAAAGTCTAATGGAGTAGATGAACATTATTAAAGAATAAATTACTCAATTCATTGTTTAACTATGTG